TGTGTGTGTGCATAAAAGAATCAAGTTTAACTTGTTTATCTTTTTTTAGCAGTAAGCCATTTGTAAAAATGTTTGCAATGTCACCATGGCTTCTAGTTTAGCCTTTAGGGAATAAATAATTGTTAGAACCAAACATACATATATACCTGGAAATACGACAATGGTGACTATGCTCACACTTTCATCAACAACTAGCTAGGAAAGGAAATTTAGCAAGAAAAATGTAGAGTTATTACCAAAAATACTGTAAACATATTTTTTATTTACATCTCTATATTTGATAAAAATACATTGAAAAGGCATCCTCAGCAAATACACGCTTGGCCATGATGGCATCTTTAGAGGCGCCCCTCTACTATTTGGTTATTTGAGGAATGATTAGGTGCATACTCGTGAGAAAAAAGAAGAATCCTTCATTATGTTTTAACAGTGTATTTTTTCCCTCTGGGGGGAATTCACAACTTATTCAAGGTTAATTGAACAGCAATGGGAAAAGAAAATGTTGGGATCTATCCAGTTAGTGTATTAAATGAGTATCTCTTACAAATGTTTCTGTGGCTTTTAATGTAGAAATATACCCATATGATTTATTGCAAATTGTTTTTTTTTAACAATGTGATGTCAACATAATATAATGTTTTAAGGAGGAACTCTGGGATAGGCAAAAAAAATCATCCATTAGTACACTCCCCTACACAAAACTCTAAACAGTTAATAACATTTTTAAAATCCTTGCTATTTAGGAGAAAAGTCTAGTTGAATCTTTATGACCTCATCTCTGTAATTCAAAAGATAACAGCATCTGCTCTGTAAAGTAAGAGGTATAATAGCAGGGATTACATCATGTCCTTTCCTCTCCCTCTGCAGTGAAAGGAAACTACAGTTTCCATCAACCACAGGGAATTGTAGTAAATGTGGGTGGTACACTAAGCCTGTACATGTTGAATGTGTCTGAGAGTCCTGGTCCACCCACCACTGCAAGTGGAGTAGAATTACATCACTTCAAGAGCTAAAGAAGGGATGTGCCAAGACTAGTGGCTGGGACAATAGGAGGCATAGCAGCCACTGGTCTTACAAACAGGAAATCAAAGAGAATGAATGGTTTTATTTTAAAATGAATAGGATATTTCAGAGCAACTACCGAGTAAACCAGAAGATGGATGATATATCCAGTGAAGGCAGGACATCAACAACAAGGACACGAAAATAAGTTTTTGCCCAGAGTTCTGCTTTAAGTATTTGGAATAACAACTGTAAACAATTTTTATAGTGAATTCTCCTTTTTCTGTTATTTTGCTTTTGCTGTGTGTCTCCACTAGTGAGCTTCACAGCCATTTTGGTCCGGTGGCCTTCATCTCCGGCTGAAAACAAGAGATAATCAAACAATTTTAGTTATTGCCAAAACAAGAATATTTGGGAAATCCTCCAGTGGGGACACTTGTTACTGTGACAACTGTCTAAGTGGATTTCCCTCAAAAAGATTTGCTCTCACTTTTCTGATGTGTGTGCAAGACAGTAAAAAAGGTTAACCCCAATGGTACACAAATGGCAAAATAATTAAAGAGGTTTAACCATCCCCTATTCTATTCAAAATAAATAAAACATTATTGGCTTTAGATATTATTTAAAGAAATATACCTGCACTACTGTATAAAACTGCTTGAACACCACCAAGGCTGCATTTATATCTGTCATTTTTTCTGTGGTGCATTTTAAAAATATTTTTTCCAGCAACTTTAGACCAGTTTAAATCAAAAATCTATTCCACAGAGATGTACTGTATGGTAACTTAAAACAGGTGTAAAGCAAGTGCTTGTAAAACATTCACTGTAGTGCAACTGCATTGACTAAAAATCACAGTACAGTAAATGTAGCCTAAATTGTGTTTCAGAGTACAATAAAACATCAACCAAGGTACAATCTACAGACCTTGCAATTTGAATGATATTAAATTAGTTAAAATTGTTTTTTTAATACATGATTGCACTGGTGCAACTCTCTTAGGACAGCAGTGTTTGTCTAATATAATATTTGTGCCAGTCAGCAATCCATGAACAGTGTATTTAAAAGCATGGAAATGTGTCACTTTGCAAGAGCTCTAAGTGTCTATCTAGAAAGTGCTGCCGCACTGCAGTTTTCACACAGTATAGCCGCAGTCACAGAAAGAGTGAATAGGCACTTTTAGGACTTTTATAAAAATTGTCTAGAAGCACAAAAGTAAATTAATATTCATTTCTCCACTAAAATGTAGGCCATCGTTTCTTTAAAAATTCAACACAGAACAGATATTGTGACTGATCAGTTACTTTTAGCTATTATTTTAAAATGATGTATTAAATATACCTAAAATATATTTAAAGCATACTTAAAGCAATGTTGAAGCTGATTTGTTTTTAAAGGTGCAGGATCCACTGTGTCCTGATTTGGGCTTCCCTATCTGGTCAGTTATTGATCTAGATCTAGTAGGCAAGATGAGTGTGCATACTTTTCATACTTCAAAACCTGGGTCTGGTTCACATACAGTTTTGCAACTATTACTAGAAGTTCACACATTTTGTGGTTAACCCACTGAAGTGTATGAACAACAAATCTTTTTATTTAGTTCTGGCTATCTGTACGGTTAGTAGGGAAGCTGGGCACTGAAAAGGGGAATATTTAGAAAGCCACCAGCTCCAAAATCCAACACACACAGAAATATGGCCTTTTCAAAGGGGGCTGAGTTATCCATTCCTTCAAATTGTTGACTCTTGTGACTCAACTGACAAGAGAAAAGGCTAAACACTGCATTATACAGTAGATTGTTTCTTACTTCAGCCAAAAGCTTGCAATTTGTGAAATTTGTGAATCCACAATGAAACTTAACCCCATCCTTACTCACTGGCTACTTTTTTCAGGTCAATGACTCACTAGATATCTCAGGATGATAGCTCTGGAACCTGAACCTTAAAAAGCATGCCAGCTATACTAATTGCCATATCTCCATATTTAAAGTGGTTGTAAAGGCTCGAGATAAAAAAAACCTTCTCTGTGCAGCAGCATCTCCAGCCCACCTAATACTCACTGAATCCCCCTCTTGATCCAATGATGTGCACTGGAGTCTCGGCTATCCCGGGTCTCCCTCTTCTCATTGGCTGAGACAGTCATTGGCTTCCGCTGCTGCTGTCAATCAGAACCAGTGAGCAATTGAGAAGAAAGATGGGGTGGGGCCAAGCTACTGCTCCATGTGTGAATGGAGCAGCTGGGGCCCCCATAGTAAGCTACTTGCTGTGGGGGCACCTGACAGGAGGGAGGGGTCAGGAGTGCCAGAGGGGACCCGTGAAGAGCAGGTAAGTATGATGTGTTTGTTGTTTAAAAACAAAAACATTAAGCCTTTAGTATCATTTTAAAGGTTCACTGATGACCATTCTTCACTGACTTTCATATGAGATAGTTTTGAGTTGCCTCTAAACTGCTTCTGTATTGTTTTCTGTCGCTAATGAATTATGTTCTCCTAGATTGTAAGAGCGAAAGAGCAGGGCCCTCAATCCCCTCATGTTTTGCATTGTATTGGTATTGTTCTGTCACATGTTCTGTCCCCCTTTGTAATGTACAGCGCTGAGCGAACTATCGGCGCTTTATAAATACTGTATAATAATAATAATAATGTTAACTAGGGATACCCTTTTTTTTATCGGCGAGTATGAGTACCGATACTTTCGGTCAAGTACTCCCCCATACAAAATGTATGGATGCAAATTGCACCGCAAAGAATAGCATTCAATTTGAACAGGAATGTGATTCCTTTCCAAATGGCATGCAGTTTCCCCACTGTCCCTGTGTGAACCCAGGCTGTCATAGCCTGAGTTCACACAGGAGTGGTGCAGGGAGGTTTCCCGCAGTGGAGCGTGGGCATGTGGGGATGTATACTGTGGTGGCAGATGCTCCATATTCTCACTGGTAGGAGAGGAGAGAAAGCAGCAGGGATTTCAAATCTTTCTCTACTCTCCTTGCAGGGATGACAGTTTGGGATAGAGGGCTTTTGATTGGTCAGCATCGTCACATAGACTGTGCTGACCAATCAGATGCCATCTAGCTCGTACTGTCATCGCTGCAAGGAGAGGGGAGAAGTCCACGGGGATTTCAAATCCCCAGACCTGTAAAGTGGCTTTCTCTCCTTTCCTTTTCTTCCTCTGAGAATATGGAGCATCTATCTCCATAGTATACATCCCCATACGCCCACTCTCCGCTCAGCATGGGATGCCTGCAGGGACGTTTCCTGCACTGCTCCTGGGTGAACTCATTATATGAAAAGCCTGGGTTCATACAGGAGCAGTAGGGAAACCGCATGCGATTTGAACAGGAATTGCATTTCTGTTCAAATCGCATGCTAATATTTGCAGTATTTATATTGAAGCAAAGTATCGGTTTCTGATATTGGAAGCATTTTCATGAGTACGAATACTCGAGAAAATACTCGGTATTTGTGCATCCCTGATGTTAATTATTACAAATGGCTGCATAGACAAGCCTTTAAAAAAAACTATGGGTTGCCTGTATGATCCTTCATGGTTGGGCACCTAATTGTGTTTGAGTACTGCCTATTCAGATCAATTCAATTCAGGATATACTGTAGACTTTACTTTGCATGTTGGCAATTAAAAGCAACCCTTGACCCATTGCCTCCCGTGCACACTCTTGATATGGGTGTTTGGCATGGGCCCTAAATGACTATAATATACTGTATGTGAGACCCTAAAAGCAGTTTCAGGAAAAAAGCATATTTGCACTGTTGTAGTCCTTATATGACCGCATCTTCCATCATAACTCTTTAGTGTTATGTAGACTGCCTATAAATTAATCTACCAAGGTCTAACTGTTTATGATCATAAGATCACATTCCATTGTGTATGGTCAGCTTTTTATTGCTACACTAGTCCTAACAGAGGTCTGCAAAAAAGGTCTACAAAAAAAGCCAGACGCTACTGTTCTGGCATTACCTAAAACATACTGGATTTCAAATCCAGGTTCAAATATAAGTTTTCCTCTTTTATAGCAGGTTTTTGTCGTTAGGTGTAAAGAAAGGTAATGCAAGGATCTACATAGAATGTCAGTATCAAATGTTAATGTATTATTGATGAAAGTATTAAATGGTAAACACAGATAGCCAGGGGCAGACTGACAACTCATGGGGCCCCCGGGCAATAGGGGATCATGGGGCCCCTGTGCCCTTGCCCAAACTCAAAAAAGCCTATGAAAAAGGTACCAGGGGCATCTCATGGGGCCCCCTACTGACCCCGGGCCCTCGGGCAGTGCCGAGTTTCCAAATAGTCAGTCCGCTCCTGCAGATAGCATACATTTAAGAGAGCTGTTTTACCTACTAACAGAATTTGTATTTCTGTCCCTTCAGTTCTGGGATTTATACAGCCATGCCATACAGTTCAGTATGGCCTGGCAGGGTTTCACTCTTACTTACAGGTCTCTCCACTCTCCTTGTGATTGGATAGTGAAAGGAGAAGCAGCATACCAAACAGATCATTTTTCTTCTACTGTGCTTTCTCATTTGATCAGCATGATCCTTGCAACTGCAACACACGTTATTATGCTAATTCTCCCTCCTCCTCTCAGAGCTCTGCTGTAGGGAGGCTGCAAAAGGCTGATACCGAGTCAAATCAGACACTTACACTGCTTGCATTTAAAAATAATTATGTATTAATAATCATGGCGCCATGTTAATCAGTGCCTTATATATCTGTCTGGATTCAGCTTTAAAGGATAAGTTCACCTTTTAACAAAAAATAAAACAAGCACAAATTATTTTTGCAGGTAAAAATATGTGCATTTACTATTTTTTGTTTTGGGAGCCAGGTCCTGCAGACCTGTCATTCTATCTGTCTGCTGGTACAGACAGGCAGGTACACTGACGTGAAGAATCAATTAACTACTACAGCTCTGAACAGTGCAGTGGTAGTTCATTGAGAACTACAAGCAGACAACCGCAAAGGCTTTGGAACTTGTAGTTTTTTAAAAATTCAAGAAAAACATCCCTGCTAGCTGTCACAATGGGGGATGGGGGGAGCAGGGGCCGGTCTTTTTGTAACATGTCACATGTTACACCCTGAATATGGGTATAACATGTAACATGTTACGAAAGGTGAACTTATCTTTTAAGAGGAAAACATACGTTAAAAATGGCTCATGTTGTGTTTTCTTTTTTTAATCATTAATATTGGATTGCCAATGGCCACACTTTCACTAGAATTATAAACTTTATTGTGTGATTTTAAATACTTTTTTTTCTGGTGATATGCGCATGGTCCACAATTCCTTGTTGACCCATTGAACCTTCTTTTAGCACCATCTTTAAAGTGTAACTGTCCTTGACAATGAAAGAGACCTTCTCATTGTCTGCTCCCTTTTGGCAATCTTTAACGTAGTGTTAAATAGTGTTCACATGGCGGAGTTGGCTGGAGGCAGGAAACAAAGTAGTGTGTTGTTCTAAATGACTTTGCTTGAGTTTCCCCTTTGATTCTGAGAATGATACACTTCTATAGAAAATGACAGACATTTTGACAGGTGCAATATGCTTTGAACTGTCTTGCCACATCGTGCTTTTGTCTTGAATTTTCCCAGCAGAGTGGCGCATCTCTTTGAGATGTTGCTATGCATAATGTTTGCTTTTCATCAGGTTTGATAACACCCTCCTACTCCTTTTCTGATCAGATTTAATCCAGTCCACATGAGAATTGAAGCATAAAATAGATTAAATCTGCTTCATATTTTAATCTTCTTCATATTTGGATGGAGCTTTTAAAGATACCATTAGTTTTAATCACCTTTTTAACTTCGAGTAACCAATAACTAGTAATACAAATAATTAGAAAGTACCATAAATAAGTAGCTTTGATGTTAGAAAAAATTTGAGAAATATTACTGACTACTTTGTAAAGATGCATCTAAGTGCTTTTTACATTGGTTTGTGAGAGAATTTCGGCTAGACCTAGTGAGGGAGTGATGGAAGAGTATAGACCCATGTTTTGTGTACCTACCTGTTCCAGATCCTGTAAGATGTTTGCTGTGTGGTCTGCTGGGTGCTTCATAAACTCTTCACCAACAGTCTCCTGTCAGGGCTCTGCTTCTTATGTGTATGGGCAAACACTCCTATGGAAAGGCCGTCAACGATTTGGAGGCCTTAACATAGAAACAAATGGACATGCTTATAAGAAGAATTAGCACAGCTCAGCCATAAGAATTTCAGAGGCTGTGCGACTCCCAGCAGACTGCACATAGAAGATCCCAGATGAATTGAAACAGGTAAGTGTCAGACTTGGAGGGGAGTTAATACTTGGAGGGGAGTTAATGGGGGGAGGAGTGACATTTAGAAGATATCTGTACTATACATATGGTAATCCTAGCAGTCTGATCAATCATACAGTATCTAGCGTTTACTAGTGATGCAACAAATGTAAAGAAAATCTGTATTGAGATAAACATTTCTACATCTAGTTGCTGACTTTCTTCTTTTGAAGATGCTAGTCGCCTTACTATTACACTGGCCTTCTGGCTGCTATACTTTTTATGTTGCTACGAGGAGTAGGATATCAGAAGCCTTTATTTGCATATTTCTTTTATAGCATTGACTAAAAGTATTGCCACAAGAGGGTCAGGATGACAGAGTGATTATTGGGTAGTCTATGGAACTATTAATTCCAGGCAGTTCATTTCTGTGACTGGTCATGTGAACATTTTTTGAGTCAAATAAAAATCTTATACTCACTGTTTTGTTTGCTGTAGAAGTCTGGAGGTGCAGTTTATGTGACATCTGGTTGTTTTACAGATGCAGGTGTATCCTAAAGTTACCTATGGGATTTATCAATCTGTGGATTACAAAAGTGTCAGCTAGGGATTTGGGAAAGCTGATCATATTACAAAATTACCTATTTCACCTTTGACAACATTTTTGGAAATTGACAAATCCAGATAATCTATGGAGCTACACCAGATGAGTTCCAGAGGCTAATACAATGGTATCCAGTAAGTCTCAGATGTATTCCTTGATTACAATTTTGAAGGATGTGCAAGGATTACACATAATAATAATAATTTCAATTGGTATTAAAAGAGGGTAGGAAAAGTATTTATTGAGCATTATTCATTTTTAACCTGTAGTTAGTATGAAACTTGAGGAACAAGTTGTCTTTTAAGGCAGTGTTTCTCAATTCTTTTTCAGTCAAGGCACCCTTTAAAATTCTGCACAAACTGGAGGCACCCTATGTTAAACCGTAAAGAACTAAACTATTACTTTTACATAATGCAGCAACATCCACTTATGTAAGACACCTAACATTAGAGGTGAATTTATTCTTACAATGTGAATACTTTGCTCACTGACTAGTATTTCAATGTTCTTCTCCATCACTCAGCTAAAGTGACCCCAGTGGTAATGGAGAGGGGCAGGAGAAAAGCAAACAAGGATACAGGTACTTGACATTCTCTTTATCAACCAATTACATCGTCCCTTGTTAGGATGCCAGTGGCGGGCCCTCACAGAGCCCAAGGTTGTAATGGTGCACAAGAAAAACTTGTGGTTTGGGCAACAAAAAGGCAAGCTTAATCCACTTGCTGGCTTGTTGACAATTTTTGGATAATTTGAGGTAATTTAGCAAAAGCACCACTGAAGAACCCAGAAGGCACCCCAAGGTTCCTGGGCACCCTGGTTGAAAAAAGACTGCTTTAAGGCACACACCAACCCCACTGAGTGTAGCCAAGCTAAATAAATACTTGCCTTCATCCTGTGTGGCTCAGCCTAGAACCACACAGCAATTCCTCAAAAAGCGACCCTACCAGGTCCTCTTCAATATGTGCCTGTGCGCAAAGGCATTATTCATTCCTATGGGGAGCTGTACTCATGGCGGCCTCCTATGGAGTACAACTCTCAATAGGAACAAATGGGACCATGGCATGAAGGGCCCTTGTGGGGATGCTTCTAGATAAAGGCTGTGTGGCTCTGGGCAGGGCCGCAGTGAAGAGCTCTGGATTAAGAAGAGAGGTAAGTATTAGATCAGGTGGGTTGCATTCAGGGAGATGGGGCATGCCTTAAAGGTCAAATTGTTCCAAAGGTAGAATTGACCTTCAATTAGGTTTTCCCCTGATTGCTATGGGGAGCTGTGTTCATTGCAGCCTTCTCTGGAGTATAGCTCTCCCCATAGAAATGACTGGGGCTGCAGCATAAAGAGGTCTTGTGGGGGTTCATTCAACAAAAAGACTGTGCAGCTCCTGGTAGGGCCACACAGTGAGCTCTGAAATAGGATAAGATGGCTTTAGACTAAGTGGGCACTCAAGGTGGTGGGGGCAAGCCTTAAAGGTCAACTTGTACCAAAGGTAGAATTGATCTTTAACCACTTGCCATCCACCCTATAGAAAATGTACTGCTACAGGGTGGATGCTCTGTGCAAAATCATGTATGCAAACGTGATTGTGCACTTCTGCCACTGAGGGGCATGCGCCTGCTGTGATTGGACACAGCAGAAGCCGATCAACAGGTGCAGGCCAATGGATGAGTGCCGGCACCAGTTGATTGACAAGGAGATAACAGAACACAGCTCTGCCTATGTAAACAAGGCAGAGCTGTGTTATGTCAATGGTGATCTGCTAGATTTTATTCAGAAAATAAAAACTAGCAGATTGCCTAGTAAAAACAGCACACAGTACACATTAAAACACTGGCTAGGCACACAATAAACCCTATGATCGCTCTAGATGTTTAACCCTTTCCCAGCCAGTGTCATTAATAAAGTGACAGTGTATATTTTTAGCACTGATCACTGTATTAGTGTCACTGGTTCCCACAAAGTGTCAGCTAGTGTCAGACTGTCTGTCGCAATATTGCAGTCCCGCTATAGGTCGCTGATGGGCGCCATTACTAGTATGAAAAAAATCCAGTATATATTATTATATACGGAAGACATTACAGCAAAAGCACAGTTCAATACAAGAGGTATAGGAGGGCCCTGCTCCTTGGAGCTTACAATCTAGGAGATATATACCACCATTTGTAGATGCTATAACTAATGCGCAAAACAATCAATATACGCTTATCAGAATTTTTTTTTACCAATAATATGTATCAGAATACATTTTGGCCTAAATTTCTGAAGACATTTGATTTGTTAGATTTTTTTTATTGGATATGTTTTACAGTAGAAAGAAAAAAAATTTTGGTTTTTCTTTTTTTAAATTTCGGTGTTTTTTCATTTATAGTGCAAAAAAAATAAAAAACCCAGAGATGATCAAATATCACTAAAACAAAGCTCTATTTGTGGGAAAA